GGTTTAGCGCTCGACTCTTGACATCACATTACCTCGTCCTGTTCCCACGGCCTTTTAGGAGCGTGCTTCCTGTGTGGCTTCTGCTCCAGCCCCCTCCTGTCTGCTTACTGTACCGTTCTGTGACTGCAGCTCTTGGGGCAGGGTGTGGAGGAGTGATCGGGGCCATGTACTGAAGGGTGACGGGTTCGAGGTGCTTCTCTTCAGTCACTGTCCTCCTCTGAAGTCTACGTGAAGTGAGCCTGAAGCACATCCATCTCAGTCAGGAAACAATACTGCAATGTCTTGAGGAAATTCGCAGTGCAGAGGGTCTCTTGAAGGAAGTGCCAGTGTTAAAATAAAGAGTATTCTTGAGTTTGAAGCCTGTGTTGTACCGATCAGTAACAGAATAAATTGTAGGTTCAGTGGGCTTCTTATAAGCAGTTTGTCAGAGTTGACATACTATTGTCTTTCTTCATACAGTGTTCATTTGTTGTGCGCTTGCCTCAGAGCAATAGAAACCACTTAGTGAGTGCAGGCAACTTGGTTTCTACCCAAGTTCCTTGATGTTCCTCACTCTCCTGTATTCATGCCTCTCGACATTGGGATTCCGGGAAGACCTCCCTATTTCCAGCAGCGTCAGTGATGATGGTCCCAGCGTGCTGTGACAGTCATGTTGCTGTGTGTTCGCTTCTAGTCTGTCTACATGTCCGTCAACCAAGACTGGTCCTTGTAGAGTAGTCCTCTGCTGGGAGGAGAAGAGCGGTTTGTGAAATATAGAAATATATAGAATATGCTGTGTCCAGCAAAAAATCTTTCATAGCAGGAGAATAGAGCAGGTGACACAGACAGTTACAGTACAGGATGGGAGACACAGTGAGAGGAGGTAACAGGGGAATATAGACTGTTTTACAGTACAGGACAGGAGATCGTGAGGGGAGATGACAGGGGAATATAAACAGCTGCGGTACAAGGCAGGGGAGGAAAGACCAGGGAGAGTGGCATGAATCACTGTAGCTTTAATCAGGAGATGGTTCATGAGCATCAGGAGTTGGAGCAGTGTGAGCTGTTCCTGCTCGGAGCTTGTGTGAGAGGCAGCCTGGTGAACAGACACACCCTGTTACCACAACAGACATGATTGTACTCGAGGACTGGATTTTCAGGTCTCCTGCAGGCAGTTAGATAAGTTAGAAAGCGAAAACATTTTTACTATTTACTGACACAAGGTAAATGCATAGTTTGCATACATCTCCACACCAGAACTGTCTGGGAAAACGATCAGTCGGCCTTCGAGAGATTGTTGTGCCCAATATGTGCTGGTTATCAAGTGCTGCCTCCTGTCTTTACTGAGCAGAGAGGCCACCAGGAATCCAGTGGCAACTTTGAAGGACTGCAGGGCTTTACGTGGAAGACTGGTCAGTGTGTACATGTCGCAACACTATCCCAGGCCCTGCACAAGCCTGAGCTGTACGGGCAAGAAGAAAACCACAACTCCAAAAAGCCCAGATTGAGTCATGTGAGAGGTGTGCCAAGCAGCACTGTGGTGAGGCCTGTGTTTTTATGGTCTGATGAAACCAGGATGGGACTTTTGGTGCTAAATGCAAAACATTCCATTCAGAAAAAAGTCAGTACAGCTCCTCACCCACAGAGCACCATCTCTGCAGTAAAGCATGGTGGAGGCTGCATTCTGTTATGGGGGTGTTTCTCTGCACCTGGGACTGGGGCTTTTATCAGGACAGAAGGGGAACTGGATGAAACCAAATACAGATAACCTGCTGCCCTCTGCTAGGAAGCTGTGTGATTTCTGGGGGGGTGGCAGCTGAGGAGTGTGCTGTGTGATTTCTGCCTCTGTCACCCCCCCAGAAATCACACAGCACACTCCTCTGCTGTCACCCTCCA